ATCTGGGTGAGCATTAGCCACCATTTCATTGGCCATCTCGTTGATCTCTATGTTATTTCGCATATCATCTTCACTCATGTCCATTCCATTTGTAAGAACAGCTTGAGACTCGTCGATTTGTGCATTGGATATTGATTCTTTGCCGAGTATTACTCCAAGTGATGCTGTCACATTGTTCGGATCGATGTTATTGCACACAAACGATGCAAATCGTTGAAGTGTTTCATCGCCTGGGATGATGTGTGCCTCAGACAATCCACGGAGAGGAGTCGTAGTTGGTTTCATAGCATTCACATCGTTGCTTTGGTTGACTCCAATTACTTCCGGCTCTACTACTGGTGCAATCAAATCAATGGTTGGCTGAATAGAAGCAGAAGCACTCTGTGCTTGACAGGCCGTTGTTATTGATTTATCCTTGCCAATTTGTTCACCAACATTTCCTTTCCCACTCTGATCAATTCCACTCGAAATAGTCGCTTGAGACTGGTTGATTTGAGCAGTCACAATTGATTCGTTGCCAATCATTGCTTCGATCGATTCAGTGACATTGTTCGGATCGATGTTGTTGTCCAAAAACGATGTGAATGGTTGAAATGTATCATTGCTCAACATGGCAACTTCAGATTCATTCGGTGTGCCATGAGATGAAAACTGATGCAATGATGTCGTATTTTGCATCGATTGCTGTTCATTCATAGGAACCCTCGGCTCAGGATTTACTTTTGGCACCGTCATATCAATGGTTGGCTGTATAGAAATAGAAGTACCTGGTTCTTGGCTTCCAATTGTCGATTCAATTGGGTTGTCAATGCCAATTACATTCTCATTTCGATCAATTCCACTCGAAATAGTCACTTGGCACTCGTTGACTTGGACGTTCAAAATTGATTCGTTATCAATAACTACTTCGACCGATGCAGTGACATTGTGCGGATCGATGTTGTTGTCCGAAGGCATAACATGAAATGGCGTTGAAGAGGGTAATGAATGTGGCCACTCGGCGACTGAATTTACCATTTGATTTGTAATTGGTGCAATTGAATCATTCGCTGGCTGATGGCTTTTTTTCGATACGTTATTATTAGTTGTTCCACTGCTTCCATCAGTGGTCGTCTTCTTGTCGGTTGGCTCGTGACTTCGACAACGAACTGCAATGAATTGCTCTTCAAATTTGGCATTCCTGACATACCGCTCATACGCTTGGGCGACACTGTGGAAAATAATTAAATATTTAGGCAGTTAATTTAGTCAAACAATTACAATTTTATGTTGAAAATGCAATGCAAACAATAAACAAAATCCGAATAACATCTTCTCACCGATAATTCGTCTCTCGCAAAAAATATTCCTTGAAATTGTCGTCAAAGGAGAGTCCACTGCATCGAAAATCATCTTTCACGAATTGCAGCGTTGCTTCCGTTTCATTCTGAGTGTTCGTCCAATAGTTGGCCAGAGTGCGTTGCCAATTTCCAATCATCGTTTTCTGAAAATACAAAAAATATTCACGAAAATTCATTAAACTATCCCAATCGGCATATGGTAAATTTCAAGAAATAAAAGTCGATTGATGCAGAAAGACTATGCAGACATTACGTGTATGTAATGAGATTAATGTGACCGTTTGTGTTGGTGTCGTGACTATTCCGTTCACTCTATGCTTTACCGCTTAACCAAGCACAAAATTTTCTTAATTCTTAAAATGCCCTTATTTATAACAAAACCCAACAGAAACCCAATATAAAATTCTCATTGGATTTAAGTGTTTATTTTCTTTCCATAACCATCATTTATTTGCCAAGCTGGCAATGCCAACTGATTGCTTACCTAATTGCAAAATGTTATTCAACCCGGTCTTTCGTTGCACTCGATGGATTCAATTGAATTTTTTAGTTTATTTTTCTCGATTTTTTAATGACAATTAATGTGTTGAAAGCAATATATCCTCTTGGATTTTTTCAAATTAATGATGATTCGGTCGTGTTTTGAATAAAAAAATACATAAAATAACAAAACATACACAGAGCGTACACAATAGCTAGTTTGAAGATACACAAAAACACACAGAAGTGACGTAACAATCTACTAACGTCAAACTGTGCTTCACTATGGTCTACATTGAATATTGAATCGATGCGACTCTCCACATCGCTTGAGTACGGTTGAGTACATTAAATGTGAACCGATGTGTTGGGTTTTTTCACTTTGAATTTAATTTTGATATTGTGTTTCCATTACGCTAATTTTTCATTTAGAAAAATGTGAAAAAGACAGTACCGAAGGATCTATTTTCATTCTTTTGCTGAGAATTATTCACACACAGTGTGAATTGTATTCCAATCCGACCTTTGTGTTTTTCTCGAGATTGAAAGGCCTTTAACAAACGTTATTTGATTTTTTCTGCATTAATTTGCACCAATTGGCCCAAAAAATAGACAGACAATTTTCTCTTTCGATGCAAGCTGTGCACATTTTTTTTTAAAAAAAAATAAAAAATACACAAAGTAATTGTATCGTAACCAAGAAATACTCTTTTATTGAAATTACAAATGGTTCATGTATTATCAATTCTGGTAAAAAAAAATATCTCACGAAGGAAATAAGATCCGATTTCAGTGAAGAATTGTTGATATTTTCTCCGGAATTCGTCTTTGTTTGTTCAATTTATTTTACTTGGATCGCTTTTTGGAATTTTGTTTTTGCGGAAGTTTTTGTGCTTTTGATTTGGTTTCAAATAAATTGATTTTCTCTTGAACACCACCGCCCAAATTTGGTGAAAGCGGAGCTGGTTCAGCTGGTGCTGAATCATCATCTTCAGACCACTCAACGATTCTGCCAGCCACAGACGATCCAACACCATGGATAGCTGATTCGGCTGTTGATACACTTGACATTGAATGCCTTATTGACGGCAAGTTATCTTCTCGATCGCCTCTTGCGCATCCACCTTCTACAAACTGTGCACAGCAAAAACAGATAATAAAACAGTGGTCGATTATAGTAAATATTCATTTTAAATTAAATGAAAGTTCAATTATTAGGAATTTACCTGATATATGGCGAACCCAATTAAGAGTAAATTGAAAATTTTACAATTGAACATTTTGCTACTGGACAAACATTCTCAACAATTCAAGTGTTAAAAAGTATTTTGCTTAATATTTTCCAAACACGAACAAATGCCAACTCACAACTTTCATTTAAGTTACCACTTTTTATATACTTTCAGAAAGACTGTGTGAATGTCACATATTCGGAATAACTTACGATAACTCATTTAGATGTACTAATGTACACATTATCTGTAGTTGAACACTTTATTTTACCAAAACGATAAAAAAAAATAAAAACACACACACAATGTGAAATGAAATATGTAAAAATAAATATTTCGTGATGCGTAATACATCGAAAGTACTCCCAAACATTGCTGTTTTTGACAACGGAGAATGGCGGGCGCTTATTCCATATAAATTTGTACAGATTAAGGGTACTGATTATTAAAAAATGACAGGTCGTGAAATTTTGAGTAAGTAGCCATACATTTTCAAGTGAATATGAGAAACAGCAGCACTTGCAAGAAGAGTGCCCGCACCTCCGCGACGCCTATAACAGCTCTTTCTCCAAGATAAAGCAGCCAATGAAACAAAGATCCGAATGAAAAGGAAATTTCTTCTTTAAAGTCATTAATTTAAAGTTTTACGTCAACACGAAATGTCCACTGAGAGTAAATTTGAATAAAAATGAAGAAAGTGAATAAAAAACGATAAATGTATCGATAACAATAAATGTCTTTATTTAGAAAGATATTTATGACAAATTCTATGAGACAACATTTGCTGGCATTCGTTGAACGACACGTTTTCTGTGATCAATTTGTTATTTTTTTACATCTTTTTTTGCTGAGGGTGGAGGTGCCGTCGATTTAGCTTCAAAAAGTGCGATTTTGTCTTGAACACTGTTCTTTCCGTTTGATGAAGACGCATTTGAAGTGGATGCTTGTGATGTCACCTTTGATGTGGAAGCCTGGTGCGAAGTTCCTTTGGATGCCTTCAGGGTTTTGGGTGACTTTGCTTTGGGAAAGCCTGCTCTTGGAAACGAGACTGATGAAACTGAGGTGGGGGATGGAGCTGAATCAGAAAAGTCAATTTCTTCTCGATTTACTTCGTCTGAAATTTCTGTTGATGGGTCAGTGACTATGGTGCTATCGGAGTACATGTGTGCGAGTGGTTGTGGATGTGCATATTGTGGCGGTATCGATATTGTTGATTCCAATCCCTGTGGCATATTCAGTGTTTCATATATCGCTATCAGTATCCGTAAGATAACTGAGAGGGATATATTCAGCCAGATATGAGTGTCAAAATTGTGTCAAAATTGCATTAGACACGCTTACCATCTCCAGTGTCTAATTTAGACAGTGTCATATCTGGCTGAAAATATCCCTCTCAGTTATCTTACGGATACTGATAGCGATATATGAAACACTGGGCATATTGTCTTCTCGATCATTTTGTCCACAAATTGATTCAATGGAACCATCGATATTCGTCACCAACTACGAAAGAAAATATTTCATGTCGGTTCGAAATCAAGGTAGTTTTTTTTTAGAAAAAATTGACTTCAATTAAAATGAATAAAATGAAATCAAATAAATGTAGATACCTGACAAATGAAAATGCCGATCAACAACAAATGAAACATTTTGGGCTTGAACATCCTATCTATAACGAGTAAATTATTTTCAAGTCTTTTAAAACTGTTGAACAAAGTTAATTTAAACATTTATTGGAAAAACTCTCATTTATATACACGATTTTTTGAAATTCAACATAGTACAGATGTGAGTATTCCATCTTAATGATGTATAAATGTATCAAAATGATCGAAAGTAAAATATATTCTTATATAAAAGTTCGTTTATTAAAACGATTAATATCTCATTTAAAAAATTAGAAAAAAATAAACGCGAATTTGAAGTTGAAATTTGTTTATTCATACAAGAAAATTAAATATAACTTTTTATCATAATCAATTAGTTTTTAATCTACAGATCCATTTTTCTGTATATTCAAAACACACATGCGCACGTTTTTTTTTTTTTGATCAGGGGGTCAAATTGACTTTGGTCTCGGGGGGAAGGGGTATTTATATGAAAAAACAAAAATAACGATTTTGCATGAAAGAAACAAGTTTGACTTCAAAATCAGTGTATTTTTGCTATTTTTTATACATTTATGTTGCAAATCTGAGAAAAAAATTCTCAGAGAGGGTCAAACCGGAAACCCTCCCCCAACACGCATGTGTGATTCAAAAGAATGTTATCAAAATATTCAGGTGCATAGACAGATCCACGCATAGACAGAACTCAAAACTTTTTAAAAATCGAAAATGGCGGTATAGTTGAACTTGTCTTTTTACAATCATTGAGACAAAAACGTGTCAAATTCATGAAGTCTTTCTTTTGAAAAAAATAAATTTATTTATTTTTTTCTTTTTAAAGTTGCATTCCGATATAACAAAAATGCTAAGGAAAAAACTAGATAGGATAGATTGGCAAAGAACAAAGTTTATTTAATGATTTGATGGTTTTCAACAGAACACTATTGACTAACAATGTTTGATAGATAATTTCGTCTCATTTGGTACTCTTTTGTGTTTGTATCGGCTAGAATATTCGAATGTCATGATCTGACTTCAAAAAATGTGTCAAAGTAAAACTGAAACATGTCCATTGTCCATACTCCATCTATTTTTTAAATGAAGTTTATTATAACAAAGGAGGATGGGACTTTGTGAGTCAGCGATATGAACTTTCTAGCCGATTCATTTGGATAATATGTATTAAAATAACAAGTTCTCTCTAAAATACGTATATATTAGTCATCCGTCAGTATGCTCTGGTAAGGTACGTTTTTGTAAACAAAATATTTGCGTTCAGTGAGAACAATGGTTTCTATTGTTCTCCGTATAAATGTCTTCACACTGGCAATGCGATTCATTTGGCTCAATACTAGAAATACTAGCAGAATATTTGCGTTTTTGTTTGTATACTAAAAGAAACTCAAAACATATTAAATGAAAGTAAACATACTATAAATTGGTGTCTATACCCTAGATCAAGGGGTGGTTCAAGCCACTAATTTCGCTAATTTATCAATATTTGGATTTCGTTATTTATTGTTGGAGAACAGGAAAAACAATAACTTATCTTCTTTCATTTATTTTCAAAAGCATGAGAAAATGAAATCATCATAATATTCAACTTTATTTTTTAAAAAAATTGCAAAGTCTTGAGTAAATAATCTATTTTTGGCTACCATTTTTCATGGCTTCGAAAATTGCAATTTTGCCTTGTACACCGTTTTTTCTTTTCGGTGAAGAAGCCTTCGAAGTGGGCACTTTTGATGTTGCCTTTGATGTGGAAGTCTGGTGCGAAGTTCCTTTAGATGACTTTGGGGAAGATATTTTGGGTGACTTTGCTTTGGGAGTGCCTGTTCTTGGAAACGGAGCTGATGAAACTGAGGCAGGGTATGGAGCTGAATCAGACCAATTAATTGACTCTTGCACTCCAGATGGTTCACCGACAGATGTATCTGACATTTGTGAAACATCGTCAGTATAGTCGTCACTATCAGTATCTGATGAGTCTGAGTATGCATGTATGTGTTGATGGGCGTGTGGTGTGACATTCCCGTTATAACTCTCCAATGTATCGATCGAAGATGTTGATTCCGATATCTGTGGCAAACTGTCTTCTCGATTATTTCGTCCGCAAATCGATTCAATTGAACCTTCGATATTCGCCACCAACTTTTAAAGAAAATAATTTAATTATCATTTTATTTCGAAATAAAAGTAAAAAAAACCGACTTCAATCGAAATAAATAAATTCGAATCAAATTTTATACCTGACAAATTACAATGCCGATCAACAACAAGTGACACATTTTGGGCTTGAACATCTTTCAAACGTAACAGAATGTCTTTTCAAGTGTTTTCAATACTGTTTAAAGCTTACTTAAAACTGTTTTTGAAATGACTTTCCTTTATATACCCAACTTATGTGCGTATTGCATTTTTGAACAAAGTCGAAAGAGTTTTAATTAAATTATAAAATAAATATTGTTTAAATTCTTCTTTATATACTAACCATATCCAATCAACAATTTTGGGGTATTGACAAGATGACGACGTTAAACAAAACATTAAATTCAGGCAGACACCTAACATGAGAAAAGAAAACGATTGACGCATTTTGGGTTGGACATTATTTATTCACAGAAACCAAGAAAATACATGTTATTTGGCAGCACATCAATAATTAACTGAGAATTGAGTTGGTTTTGAAATATATGGCCATTCACGTAGTCGATTTACTTATGTCCGTGTTTTTTATGTGGTGTGTGCTCTTGTGATTGTTTTGCTTTTGCTTCAAAACGCCAGATTTTATCTTGAACACTACCAGCCTCTGGTCTTTTCGGCGAACTTGGCGTCCTTGGTGAGTCTATTTTTTGTGAAGTTGATGAATCTGGCGATGTCGGCAAATTTGGCGACAATGTTGAATTTGACGATGCCGAGGGTGCTGAATCTGAGATATCAATTTCCACTTGATTCGGTTGTTCAACTTCTGGCTCATCGTCAGATGAACGAAAGTCAGAAGAATCATACGAATCTGGAAACGGTCCCCAATTTATTGGGTCTATATTGACATTGTTATTTGATCGACGACACGTCGGCAAAATGGTGCCGTTCTCTACATTTTCAATGAACTGTGGGAAATAAAAGGCAAACAGAATAAAAGAATATTTTTGAAAAATCACTCTTTTTGACAAAGTAGTAAAGCGTTAGAACAAACCTGGTTAATGATAAACCAAATCAAAAAGAAAGCGAATTTTTTACAAGCAACCATTTTCTTGTCTTTTAAATTTAAATGCAAATGATTTACAAAACATTTGAATGCATATTCAAATTATCTTCTTTTATATACGATTCTATTGAAGCTTGAGCTTGGGGAGAACAATGAACATTTAAAAATAATTTTCAGGGGTGTCATCTCTCGTTGGTAACTATTTTAATAAAATACAAAGTATTATAAAGTCGTAATATTGAGTTTTCTCTATGTTTTAGTGAAAACTCGTGTCGAGAAGAATGTGCCTCAAATTGGAGCGTCTCAAATGTTCTCAAATTTAAATTACTGATAAAAAATTGGATAATGTATGAATTATATTCGTCTCGAATGTGTAGGTCGGTTTCACATGTTTTACGAAAAGAGATCAATCGATGGGGATTCTAGAAACCAAAGGTCACCAAAAAAAAGTTCCTTTGAAAAAGTTCAAAACGAAACAAAAGTTCAACAATTTTCGAAAGTCCATTCCTTACCTTTTCATTTTGGCATAAAGTTAAAGAGTCCTTTCCCCTGTAAACTTCGATTCCCTAAATCTTACCACTTTTTCGCTTTTGGATAAATAATTTCAAGTCGTCGCCGAAAATTTTAGACGATATAAAATAAAATAAAAATTTATTTTATATTATAATAAAATTCATTATGTGGCATTTTATTAAGACGTGGAACCACAATGAATGCAAGTCATTTTAACACGTTGATTAAAAAAGCGTTTTGCAATAATCGTTATATTCATTTCAATGTATTTCCATTGTTGTCAATATAATTAAATTAAACAAATTTGGTGTGAAATGACAAAAAAATGAATTTAAATTTTTGAAAAAGGTAATACGTATACGCTTTAGTTGGAAATTTCTTATTCGTAACTGCGCAAACATCTATTTATGTCCACCTTTTTTGCTTGGTGTCTTACCAAGTGTCGATGGCTTGCTTTTAGCTTCAATGCGTGAGATTTTATCTTTCACACTGCCAGACTCTGGTGCTTTTGGTGATTGAGCTTTCGGGGTTTTGGCTTTTGGTGAAGCTGCCTTTGGGGTCTTTGCCTTCGGTGAAGCTGCCTTTGGGGTCTTTGCCTTCGGTGAAGCTGTCTTTGGGGTCTTTGCCTTCGGTGTTGGAGTTTTTGCTGAAGATGACGCTGTTGAAGGTGATGGCGATGACTCTAGCTCTGGTGCATCTGGTATTTCAACACGTAAATGGCTGAATCTTTGTTCAACCGTCTCTGACTCAGCGTCCGATAGCTCTGGGTTGTTTGAACCAACAGATGATTCGGCTCCCTGTGGTATAAGGTCTTCTCGATCATTTCGTCCACAAATCGATTCAATGGAACCTTCAACATTCGCAAAAAGCTTCACCAATGATGCAATTAGTAATATGATTTGATAAACAATTTTTGACATAAAATCGTGAAAAAATAACGACAATAAAAATTTACCTGACAAATGGCGAAGCCAACTATTAACAAAGTAAAAACTTTACGGTCGACCATTTTTTTTGCTGTTGTAAAATTGACAACGAAGTTTGCTTGGTATTTGCAAAAATGTCGAATAATTACTTAAAACTTCCATTGACCTCTTCTTATATACGATTTTTGGCAATAGAAAAACCATGAAATATTCACAATAATTTCGAAAACGTTCTTGGAATTTTATTTTCGACTTAATTACTTCAAAACATTCAAACATCTGCGAATGCGTGTTTTTTCAAAACAAGAACAAACAAATACACATGTGTTTTGGTTATAATGCGTTATGTATAAGGTGTTTTAAAAGCATATGCCAATATTTTCAACGTCTATTACGATTTTAATGACTGGCGTTTATACTCTCTTTTCTACATATTTTCATGTCTTTGTGTTTTTTATTGAGCTTCTGGCGACTGGGTCTATTCGATATTATCTACCTTGTATTTGAAATTAATAAAACTGCGGAATAAATTACAAATACGATTGCGAAAGTTGAAAAACACATTACTAAATGTGAATATGTTTGACGTAGTTGAACCCGTATAACTCATTTGCGGAGTAATTTTGTCGATGGCGGGACTGTGCGGAGTTCGGCGGAGATAGTATGCAAATGCTGTGTATACGAGTGCAACAGCATTCTTTGCTATTCATAGATTTATTTTGTCCAAACGAAAATCACATAGAAGTGCTGTTACCCTCGCACACACAGAGTTTGTATGTCATCTCCGCCAAACTCCGCACAGTCCCGCCATCGTCCAAATTACTCCGCAAATGATTTATATGGGAAGTGACCCAATTTTATCATATTGATTACGTGGCCTAACACTACTAGTGTTTAAAAAGGAACATGTCAAGGGACTCGTCGTCAGCACCACAACCATGATATAAGAAATTCGAGATTTGGTTCTACTTAGAGAGTGGGCTTTCGACTATATTTGTCAAAGAAGGTTTAGAATTTAAGCTCTTGATTTTAGAGTACTGAAATAAAACTGCGCCACAGAATATTTGCTTCTTTGAATGAAATTTATTGTCATAAATATTCTTTGATTTACATTGAATAATGAATGCTTTCCACTCAAATTTAAAGCAAAAAACATTAATTATTTAAGATGTCCATTGTGAGCAAAGATTAGCTTGAGTCTTGTGACTTTTGAACTGGATCAATTTGTGCTTTTATTTCTTCTTCGATGGTGATTTGGCCACCTTTTTTGGAGCGAGTTTTGCTGCAGCTGGTTTTGTTTTTTCATTAATTGATTTGACTGCAGCTCCAACTGTGCCAGCTGGTGCACCTTTTGGTGAACCAGGTGGTGATACTGCTTCGACGGATTCTGGCAAATTATCTTCACGGTGATTGCGTCCACATAGACTTTCAAGGGAACCCTCAACGTTTGCGAAGAGCTGCCAAAAAAAATAAAACCAATAAATGTATTAGAAATTTGAGTTTAGAATAAAAGAAAGTTCAAAACACGAAATTTAAAACAAATTTAAAAGTTACATGGAAAATGGCTAAGCCGACCAAGAACAAGGTGAAGACCTTGAACATTTTTCTTTTTTAAGTGTTTCAAAGTTTGCTGTAAAAAGCTTACTAGTGACTCCGATTGAATTGATATCCATTTATATGTTCGATCTTCAGCACAGCAATCAGAAAAATTCGATACAAAACCTTATATTATTTAAAATAAATAATTACAAAAAATGCTGGAATTTTCGTTCAAAACATTGATCGTGTATTGTGTTGCTTGAAAAATGTCTCGAAAAAGAATGCTGAAACGAAAATTGTTTGTCACTATAGCTCGAAGTTGGAGATGAAATCATTATGATTCAATATTGAGAAAGCAACAATTGACGTTATTTAGCCGTCAAATCGATTTGGAATATTTGAAAAATGTCGAAAGAGATGAAATTTTTTTTCTCCATGAATTGTTTGCATGATGTAGCGAAAGTCTACACGTGTACAAATTCAAGCGAATTCATTACTCATATTTTAATGAAAGTTGCACATCAATTTGATCCAATAAGAATAATAAAGTTAATATGTACGTGTCAGCAATTTTCTAATGAGATTCCTTTTGACTGACAAATTCGATAATAATTTTTTTGTACAAATCGCAAAAAAAAAAACAAATTGAAATGATTATTCTTGAATTTTATCACTGAAAAATCCAGAAACGTTATTAAAAGTCTTTAACTTTTCTCGAAAAAAATGTTCATGAATGATCTCGTGTCAATATATTTTTTTAAATACCACTAAATATCAAGCGACAAATCGTTGTTTTGTCATATAAACTACATTTCTACTCTTTTTCCAAAATGATTGTTTTAATCGTGTGTGTTATAAGTTCAAATCCATTCAATAAGTAAAAAAAATAAAATGTCTTACATCCGTAAGATGAACTTTTCCGCACTGTGATCCACGACATGAAAGAAAACTAAATCTGACATTAGTTTTAGATAAAATAATTTTCGAAGCACTTTTCTTACAAAAACTACTAAAGATGGGAATTTTTGTATCGGAGCCATGCCTATATGATATCGTAATCATGTGAAAATTTGCAGAGGTTATTTTTTTCACAAAAAGTTAACATTCTGAAAGTTTGAAGAAATTTCAATGCATATTAAGGGTACTTCCCATACAAAATTTCGTTTTAGAGCGAAAAATCCAAAATATTGTTCGGGAGGTACCCCTAATATTCGTTGAAATGTCTTCAAACTCTCGGAATAGTATTTATGTGTGATAAAAATAACCTGTGCAAAGTTTCAGCTCATTACGATATCATACAGGCATGGCTTCCATACAAAAATCCAAATTTTTTGAATTTTTTGTATGAAAAGTGTTTCGAAAGTTGATTGTATCGCAAAACTAACATCATATTCGGTTTTCTCGTACCCAAAAACCCCCCAATACACATTTTTGAGTGTTTAAGAATACATTAAATATCACTTTTGGAAGAAAAATTGAATTTTTCCCATGGATGGACATGGGCATCACACCAGACATGACACTTTACCCTGTCAACCAAAGTCGCTCAAAATCTAATGGTTTCTATTCCTCGGCACCCCCAATCATCCTGTGAAGTCAGATTTTGAATTACTTTTCTTGTTTGAAAGCTATCGTGTTAACAAATTTTTGCGTACAGGGTACAGCGTACAGCGTACAGCGTACAGCGTACAGCGTACAGCGTACAGCGTACAGGGTACCACGCACATACATTCGGACATCGAAAAAACGCTAGATTCGTGTTCCCTGGCTCCTAAAACACCCAGAAAACATGTTTTTTGAGGATGTCAATTTTTCGACCGATTCCAATACTTTACCTTACACACTAGGTGTGTGCGGAAAAGTAACAATCCATTCTGTGTTCGTTTTCATTTCAGTTTATTCAATCAATTAAAATAGTAATAACAGTACTAAAGATATGTAACAAAAAACCATTGAAAATACAGTACAAAATTTGGACCAAAATCAGTACCAAAATACCGATGAGCATTAAACGCATGACCAAAAGTACCAAAGAAATTCCGACACGTACGAATGTTACCATTTCATTTCGTTTTTCCTATCATTTTACGTTCTTATTAGTGTTTTTTGGTACTTGCCCTTATTTTTTCAGTTCTTTCGGTCATGTTTTAATACTCCACAATATTTGTTGTATTTTGTCACTGATTTGCCAAAAAAAATGCAAAACATTGTAAAAATTCCTATCGCGAGTTATACATCGAACGACGTTCACTAAACGAAAGTTCCGATGGATCAGCTTGCTTTTTCGACGGTTCATTGAAATTTATGCGAACTTTAACCTCGGGAACCACATGCTTTCTCATATGTCCATCAATTTTATCGACAATTTCTCTGTCCGGAGCGTATGGAATATCGACAATGCCCTCTTTCGTCGGTTTATTAACCCGATCAACAACATCGCCAAATTGGTTTCTTATGTTTTTCTCTAGTTTGCTCGTTATTTGACTGACACTAGGTCCTCTGCTGTTTTCAACGTGGGAACGATCATCATATTGTCGTATATAGTTGCCGGTATGTCCTCTACTACGATCGTCATAGTGATCTCTATCATAATCATTCCGACCTCTTATGACATCACCATTTCGATCCCGCACGTAGTCACCGCGTATGCGATCATCATCTCTGGCATAGTTATCATTTCGACTTCTAACATAATCACCGTTTCGATCTCGCACGAACTCGCCATTTCGATCTCTTATCCGGTCATCATAATGATTGTCTCTGTGGTTGTCTCGACCCCGCACATAGTCATCATCGTAATGATTGTCTCTGTAATTGTTGTTTGCTGACGCAAATGAAGATGGAGATGGTTGAGCCGCACCAGTTCTTCTGCCTTTCGAAGCTTTATTTTTATTGATTTGTCTCTTAATTTCGTTCACCATATTCGCTGCAAGAACGGGATCTTCTGGCGGTGGTTTGAAGTCTAAAGGCGAATAGCTATGACGTGTCATATCATATTTGGGAACTTTTCCAACAAATCCAAGCACATTTTCAACCAGGAGCTTTTAGAAGAAATTAAAATTTTGAGAATAAAATGAATTTTATTGCCAATTTTCAAAAATTACCTCGGAAAATGTAAAAGCAATGAATAATACTGCGAAAAGTTTTCGATCGAACATTTTGCCTTCTGTTTTGAAATCTTCTACTAATTGTGGATCTGAAGAGCTATTGGAAAATCCACACAGCTACTGATAGTTTCTATTGAAGAACCAAGGTTTTTATGCCCCACAAAAAAGTCATCCATTATTAATCAGAATTCGGTCATATTCAAAGTTTTATTGTATAATTCAAATTGAAAATTCGAATTAATTCAGAAAAAAACATGTTGCTGGAACATATTTTTAGTAGATCGCATTATCGTCACCGTTGAGACCGTTTAAGTTATTCTTGATGTAAATTCAAATGCTTCTCACAAAGAATGATATTTTTTTTTTTCAAAAACATGTTTGTACGCTTAATTCTCGATGGTTTTAGAATAAATTAGTCAAAATGTTTAAATTTTCATTTTTTATTCCGTTAATGATAGACACACGTTTTCATCTAGTCGAATTCAAAATAATTTATTTCGATTATTCTCTTACTCAAACTAATTTTTTGATCTTTCAATTTTATAAAATATGTACATAGAATCTTTTTCATGAATTATGTATATTGAATGAGTCTTCAAAAAAAGCAGACGAAACATATTGTGCTTAAGAAAAATTCGACTCCGGTGTGAGTTGGAGCACACAAGAAAGTCTTAAAAAATAAACATTACCTATTTGTACCGAAAAACTATAAAAAACCATTTCCTTATTTCAATCCACATGGGAAGTCATGATTTCTCCGAATTTATGATTCACGAACTACGCATTGGCAATGTTTTTTCAAGTAGTTTAATTCGTTCCTTCAAATGAAGTTCGGATGGATCGGTCTCTTTGACTCTAACGCTCAGCTTCAGAGGATGATTGGGGGTGCCGAGGAATAGAAACCATTAGATTTTGAGCGACTTTGGTTGATAGAGTGAAGTGTCATGTCTGGTGTGATGCCCATGGCCATCCATGGGAAAAATTCAATTTTTCTTCCAAAAGTGATTTTTAATGTATTCTTAAACACTCAAAAATATGTATTAGGGGGTTTTTGGGTATGAGAAAACAAATATATTTCGACACACTTTTCATTCAAATTTTTTCGAAAGAATTAGATTTTTGTATGGAAGCCATGCCTGTATGATATCGTAATGAGATGAAACTTTGCACAGATGAAATTTCTTCAAACTTTCAGAAAGTTAGCTTTTTGTGAAAAAAATAACATCTGCAAATTTTCACATGATAACGATATCATACAGGCATTGAAAAGTCCATCAAAAATTATTTTTATCGCAAAACTTATATCATATTCAGTTTTCTCATGAATTCAGATACGTAATAAATGCATATTGTGGATCACAGTGCGGAAAAATTCATCTTACGGATGTAAGACATTTTATTTTCACTTATTTGCATTATGGAGCTTCGCGTGAAGATACCCTATCGCAGCCTGCATTCGGTCATTATCCTATCTAAATTGTCTTGCACGATGAGTTCTGCGGCGATTTCTCCTCTTCAGTGATAATCTCTCTGGTATTACTTTTCCGCACACACCTAGTGTGTAAGGTAAAGTATTGGAATCGGTCGAAAAATTAACACCCTCAAAAAACATGTTTTCTGGGTGTTTTAGGAGCCAGGAAACACGAATCTAGCGTTTTTTCGATGTCCGAATGTATGTGCGTGGTACCCTGTACGCTGTACGCTGTACGCAAAAATTTGTTAACACGATAACTTTCAAACAAGAAAAGTAATTCAAAATCTGACTTCACAGGATGATTGGGGGTGCCGAGGAATAGAAACCATTAGATTTTGAGCAACTTTGGTTGACAGAGTGACGTGTCATGTCTGGTGTGATGCTCATGGGCATCCATGGGAAAAATTCAATTTTTCTTCCAAAAGTGATATTCAATGTATACTTAAACACTCAAAAATGTGTATTGGGGGGTTTTTGGGTACGAGAAAACCGAATATGACGCTATTTTTGCGATACAAATAACTTTCGACATACTTTTCATACAAAAAATTCAAAAAAATTAAATTTATGTATGAAATCCATGTCTGTATGATAACGTAATGAGCTGAAACTTTGTACAAGTTATTTTTATCACAAAAAAATACCTTTCCGAGAGTTTAAAGACATTTCAACGCATATTAGGGGTACCTCCCAAACAAAATTTTGGATTTTTCCATCAAAAACGAAATTTTGTGTGGGAAGTACCCTTAATATGCATTGAAATTTCTTCAAACTTTCGGAATGTCAGCCTTTTGTGAAAACATAACCTTTTGCAAATTTTCACATGATTACGATATCATATAGGCATGGCTCCGATACAAAAATTCCCATTTTTAGTAGTTTTTGTATGAAAAGTGAAATCGAAAATGATTTTTATCGTAAAACTAATGTCAGATTCAGTTTTCTCGTAAATTCTTTGAGTAAAGGATTTGTAATAAATGCATGTTGTGGATCACAGTGAGGAAAAGTTCATCTTACGGATGTAAGACATTTTATTTTTTTTTTAAATATTGACGCGAGCCATAAAAAAAAATGGTAAATTATTTCTCGTTCGTCGAAGCATTGATTATTGTTTAGAGCAGTTGCAGCGTAATTAAAATTGGAATTTGGCCATCGAAGGTGGGGATCAACACATTTGTAACAGTCGATCGTATTCGCCGTCGGAAATCTTCTGTTTCTATAAAGAAGAGCATATTGCAAGTATTGCAAGTAATCAACCGGGGTTATTGATGCGAGAAGAGTTCAAATTGAAGACAAACATTTAAAAAATTAGAGTATCGTGACCATTTTTTGTGACCAATTATTTCATAGCACTAGCATATACCCCAGCGAATTTAGCTTGTTCTAATCATCTACCATTTCAATAAATTTGTCTGTATTTATCCAAAATTACAAATAAAAGTTGGTCAATTCTGATGTTGTTAATCTCGATGTACCGTCGATGTCTTTTCTTATGCGTGCTCAATATGCTTGGCATACGCAGTATAACAAGCGATAGCAAGTATATCTATAGGTAAAATCGACACATTGATGATATCGGATGATATATTCAAAAAAGCTTCAAAATAACAAGTAGCGTTTATTTATTCGAATCTACTTGAACAAAGTAGTGCTATTTATTCAAACAATACCAAACTTTATTAACTGGAAAAAATCAAACATTATTGAAGAACTTTCGCGGTTGCCGGGCGTTGAATAAGAAGAATAAAATCAACATGAGAAGAGTTGATCTACTTTTTTCCCGATGCCAATTTGGCCTTTGATTCAAAAAGTTTGATATTTTTTTGAACTTGACTCAAAGGCTTGACTGGTGCTGGTGCAGGTGCGTTGGGTTTCAAACGAGCTTCAATGTCCTTTACCTTTGATAGAACATTGCCGGTTTGTTTTGGTGATTGTGCGGGTGACGATATCGGTCTCACTACTGGTGAGGGTGATACTGGCGCTATTGGCGTAGTTGTCGCTGACACCAATGATGAAGAACTTCCAAACGATGGCAATTTTTCTTCGCGTTTTCCATTTACGCATATACTAAAATTATCCTCTCTATCACGTCCACATAAGGCACCATCGACATTTGCAACGAAGAGCTGCAGGAATAATGGTTCGAATTTTATTGAAATTTTCATTTAAAAACCTTCTTATTTAAAATGAAGAATTTCCACGAAATTTGTTGTAATTTTTTAACGTTCTTACCTCGCAAATAACGAAACTGGTCAATAATAAAGCGAATAATTTTCGGTCAAACATTTTTTCGGATTTTTAATCAAAGTTTGCTCAAAATGCGACACTGTCGAATTTCCAATGAAATTACTCAGCGAAAGAGATCGTTTTATATTAAGTTCAAACGATAATTTATTCATGAATTATTTGACACTATTATACTTGCTAATTGACATTTTATAATTCTGCATAATTACAATGAATAAATTTATTCTAATTTACATCTGGAATAATGATTCTGTGAATAAGAAACATTTTTAACCATTTTTTTTTCGTCATGATGAATCTTCTAAAGGTTGAAGAGCGACACATTGTCGTTAAGGTACACAAAAAATTGAAATTACAAATGCATTCAAAAGACAAGAGACATATTATTATAAGCTTTTTTTTTTAAATTCGGTGTATCCCTATGTATTAGGCACACCATTCTTTCTTCTTTTCTTTATTCACTTATTTGATCTCTGGAGTTTCGCGCAAAGATACCCTATGGCAGCCTGCATTCGGTCATTATCCCATCTAAATTGTCTTGCACGATGAGTTCTGCGGCGATTTCTCCTCTTCAGTGATAATCTCTCTGGTAAATCTTTTAAATAATGACGCGAGCCATCAAAAAATTGTTCCAAATAAATCCATATTCTTCCTCTCGTCGTTTGCTTCATCTTTCGATCAATGACAATTTCACAAATTAGCGATGAAACCGACATGAATGTTCCAAAACCCAAAATAGAAATAAAGAGCACTGCATATTCTTTCAAAGTTACAGATGGTGGTGATTTGTAAGGAAAAATTGGTTTTTTCTTCCTTTGACTATCGCGGTTCCATTTTATAAATAATCCACCTTCGAATGCATTTTGGATGATATCATCGATTCTTTCCTTCAGTTGGAATCTCTTCCGTGTTAAAAGTGCCGGCTGATAAGTTGCAATGTTCTCTTCTCTATCGAAGCAGAAGATTTCTGACGGCGAATGTGATTGACTGTTCAAAATATGTTGACGCGAACCACCAACCGCCATATTTGGATTATCATCGTTCTTCAATTGCTCCAAACAATAACCAATTGTTGGACAAACGAGAAATGAGTCAATTTGGGATTTGTGATACTAAAATGGAAATCTAATACTTAAACTACTGTCATTGTAATGATGTTACGCAATATTACCCGGTCATCAAATGCAATTAATTTAGAAACTTCGACAGAACCAGCCAAACGAAAATCCTCGTCAATGATTTCAGTTACAGTCGATATTTGATGACGTTGTACAGGCACTCTTTGATATTGGTTCATATTGTAAAAAAAAATTATCGATGTAAATATGTTCATAATCAATAAGAAAACATAAAAGATTCGCAAAGGTAAATATTTTGGTTGAAAACGTTGATTAATCCCAATGGCAGCTGGTAAAGCAATGAGCCACGTTGTATAATGCCAATCGCGTTGATTACGATGCTTGTACTCCAAATCGAACTGAATCATTACGTAAATTAGCAACCCGCTGCATAGACCATTCGAAATGGGCATTATTTCTTATAAAATGAATTTGATACATTCAAATGAATAAAATAATCATTTTACCTGCCATATCCAATTCCGAATATAAGTAAGATCCAAACAGATGGTGTGGCAATGAAGAAAAAATTTAAAATGAAGGGATATTTTCCGCTTTTTTGTACACACCACGTCAAATCGTCACCGAAATATGCTCTTGAGACGGTAAAATCATCCGAAGACCGTGCGGTTGGAAACAAACCACCAACCAAAAGATCAGCTTTGAGGCGACTTTCCTTGCTTTGCATCAATAGACTCAAATTCTCCTTTGCGACAATGGTCTTGATGAGATTGTACTCGATCCCCTTATTATACTTTCCACCTTGGCTTCGATACATAAACGGTTCGTAATGTGAAGTAGACACACGCAATAAGGAAACCGATTCAAGAGGATTTATTTGGAATTTATGGTTGAATTTTGATGAATTTGAATCCATTTTTATAAAAATGATTTGTGAAGCGAATAATATCAATATTATAAGTGAACGCATTTTACAATTGATGACCGTAGTCGGAGAATGTCCTTTAATAACTAACCCCATTTGAATTCGGTGAATTGCGTTCTAGATTCGATTCAAGTGGCAAGAGAATTCCAAAAAAAAGAATTTTCTCAAGATAATTACTCAGATCCAACTGCAGCATATACAAAACTAAGATCATATGACACGGTTTTTTAAAATAATTGGGTAATTGTAGGCTTGTGCAATGACTACTTCTGGCGTGTTCTATTACTCCACAGATAAGTTGCTCTCTTGTGACCCAGCACATTTTTGTATTTTTTCCGTCGCTGAATTCCGTTATCTTGATCAAAAATTCGTTATTATAGTGGTAAATTATTTCTCGTTCGTCGAAGCATTGATTATTGTTTGGAGCAGTTGAAGCGTGATGATAATTGGAATTTGGCCATCGAAGGTTGGCATCAACACATTTTGAACAGTCGAACGAAGACAAAAATTGATCAGAGTAACAACAATTCTATATAAAAAAAAACGCCTTGTTCCGCTTTGATATAACAACCATTCAGTACGCTGTTTTTATTCTAGAGCGTTCATTTGTTGTATTACAACAAATAAACCGTGTGAAAAAAACTTCATGTTGCAGTATTATTTGGAGAAAAATAAGAGCTACTGTTTCGCCGCAACGATTCATATTTAATGTATTCTTAAACACTCAAAAATAAATACAAATATGTATTGGGGGATTTTTGGGTACGAGAAACCCGAATATGACGTTAGTTCTGCGGTATGAAAGCCATGTCTGTATGATATCGTAATGAGCTGAAACTTTGCACAGGTTATTTTTATCACACGAAAATACCATTCTGGGAGTTTGAAGACATTTCAATGCATATTAGTGGTACCTAATATGCATTGAAATTTCTTCAAACGTTCAGAATGTTAACTTTTTATGAGAAAAATAACCTTTGCAAATTTTCACATGATTACGATATCATATAGGCATGGCTGCGATACAAAAATTTCCATTTTTAGTAGCTTTTGTATGAAAAGTGCTTCGAAAATTCAGATTCAGTTTTCTCGTGAATTCTTTGAGTAAAAGATTTGTAATAAATGCATGTTGTGGATCACAGTGCGGAAAAGTTCATCTTACGGATGTAAGACATTTTATTTTATATTTGCATCACAATTTGAGATGAAAATTGTTTTCAAAAAGATCGTTAAGAATTCGGACAGAGAATAAATTGTTCCTATGTATTTTACAAAAGTAAAATTTGGTGTTTCAAAAGTGTTTTGAAAGAGACTCAAAGGAATTTGAAGTGAATATTGCTGAAAAATAAACGATTGACTATTGACTTGTTTTTAATTTTCCAGTCATCAGCCATGTGGCATACACATTCAAAACAGTCGTTCATTGAAAAAGCGTCATTCATTTGAAAATATTCTTGTAAATGAAACAGATGTTTTGGTATTTATCCCAAAACGTACCTCTCAATTACGCAGTTTTTGCCAGATTCTACTAATTTTATGTAAAATGTCCTAGGGGATAACCATGAATTGCAGATCGAAATTAAAAATGGGAAAAGGCGTATTTAACTACATATTTTGATACATTTTAGTTCAACACTATTCAATTCGTTTGTTTTGTGAATAAATTCAAGAATAAATGCTTACTAAAGTATATACATGTACAGTGCTAATTCTGCTATTTATTGCTAATTTCGCTATTTTCTTCATGTAAATTTCCCTATTTTTTTTCTAATGTGCTAATTCTAATTCGCATGGATATCCCCTAGAAAATGTCTCTTGAAATATTTAATCGACACTGAAATTTACTTTGTCAGCACAAAATTTATTAAAATTTCAATTCAATTTCAACATATAAGTTAAATAAGACGAACTAAAAGAAAATGAATTGATTTGTTGGCGTTATGCTGTTCATGTTGATTCATTTTGTGTGTGACTTTTTCTGATTTTTCTTTACGCCACCGTCCTTAGAATGAGTTTGTTTTGACAGTTTTTCAAAGAGTTTTATATTGTCTTGAACTAAACTCGGCTTTGTTTCTGGCTCTGGTTGCTTTCGATTCGGGGACTTTATCTTGCTGGGTGTGCTGGGAGTGTGATAGTCCATTTGCTGAATCTCTGGTGGAGTAAACAATGGCTTTGATGGATCTAATGAGAGTGGTGTTTGAGAATCAGAAATTGGTACTTCGTCACCAACATCACCGTAGCACGTACAACTACCATCAACACTCGCAGTGACGATCTGGAAATAATTGAACAAAATATTTTTTTTGATTGGGAAATTTGCTTGAACTGATCAAAAACATCTAATTCATATTTTCGTTATTGACATTAAACATAAAATCGAACCTGGGTGCAAACTGCAAATCCAACGAACAGCAGCGATAACATTTTAAGAGCGAACATTTTATTTTTTTGAAATCGAGAACTACCAAATTCTTTATTCGTCAATGTACTCTTCTTTACCAACTGTAAATTGCAATTGAACTATCGTAAATGTACAATTGTTAAGGTAGACAATGTATTCTTTGATATTTTGGTATAAAATTTTTGAATTTTTTTGAGTGAATTTTTTACTTTCAAATTATAATGAACCAAATCGGAATTTTCTGCCTCGCAGTCGAGAAGGCTGGGGGCTGAATATTCGGTTAATATTTCATTAAATATGGTGGATGTAAAAAGAATTCATCAGACGAAAATGAATAATAATGAAAAAAATATCGAAAGTTTACTAGCAGGTTTCATAAAGTAAATTTAATTTATATGCCTTCATTATATTCAAAATTAACAGTTCTGTTCTACTGAAAGAAGACGACTTCGGTTTATATATGTAAATGAGACAAGTCATTAAGACTTATTGGAAACTTCGTTTCATTATTATTACAAAACGGTTGAACATTAATTTTCAACATCAAAAGAATAACGTCTATTGTTTTAGCCCATTTAACTGGCTAACGTACTCTCAGCTCAACTGACCAGTTAATTCAATATATTGTCTGAAATTACGTTCTCGGATGTAAAATTGCTAGGAGGTTTGCAAACTCTAGGAGGAGGTTTTACGACAAGATTTAGCAGACATAAGGTTTGAGCTATGGATATAGCTGCTGCTATTTCATGGCCGCTATTCATAAGTGCTTTTTAACTTGTTTTAATGCGTTTATGCATGTTGTGCGTTATTTTCTACATCTCTCTCTTCAAATGTACAGAAGAATCGTAGGCTATGATATTCCTACTCGGTGTTGCACACAGCACACGAATCAAATAGCGCCTATGAAATAGCAGCCACTATATGCATAGCTCGAGCCTAATGTCTGGATTTAAGCTAAATTTCTAGAAAATGAAAATCAAAATCTATTCTCTAAGGCGGGAGTTAAATGCAAAATTTTATTATTTTTTCAAGTCAACTATAACAGAAACAGCAAGTTAGCCTATGCTGGTAAAAAACACCTGGAACAACGATACAAATGAACCGACCAGATTATTCGTGACCTCAAGAAATTTGTCAAAATAAAACAACAACTTGCCCAAACATTTTTCATATGAACATGTTGCTCTTTTACTTCAACAAATATCTTGAGCTCACGAATATTCTAACCGATTCAAATGCCGTCGTTTCAAACGTTTCTAATTTATCGATCTACTGACACTTATTAATCGAATACACACGTGTTGGCTGACGTCAATGGAAACAAGAAAAAAGAATGGAATTTTTGAACACTTGGTTACGTTTTCTAGTCGAATTAATTTGAATAGCATGACAGATATCGATCAAAATGTATTATACTGTTTTATAAGAAATTTATATTAAAATTTGTTGCTATGCTGTCATTGAATGATGTCATCAGAAATAAAGAGAAGACTTTTCTAAAAACTTTACGATCAATTTGATATATTTTATATAATAAAAATTGTGGATCTTGGCCTTGTGGTCATGGCATGTGTTTTCGAATAAAGGTCATTGCATGTCTTTTTTTAGATAATGAGGTAGTTGAAGACTTGAAACGTGTCTTTAAAAAAATTAAGGGTGTAAAGGTAAGGGGGTAAAAATGTGGGTTTTTGACAAAATCTTATAATTTTTCTTTCAATCTCTTTACCCACATAGCCTCTATGTCACTTTATGCTCTCTCAAATTAAGAGAAGAGTCTTAATTACCTTCCAATCGAATGGTGCTTTTATATCTTTCTTTTATGCCAAAGAAATTTTGAAAAATGGAAAAATGAATAAAATCACAAAAATTATAATGTTGGCATGCCAAACATTTCGAAACCAGTTGCGTTTTATTAAAATTTATTTTAACATTGTTAAATGTACAAATAAATTGTTGACAAACTACTGTTTATTCTTTGAAAATTCAATTTGATTTTAAAGTCTTGCTTGACGAGGACGTACCGAGGGATATAAATGATTATTAATTACGTCCATTCTCTTTCTCGTTAACGGAGGATTCGTTGATTCTGTTTATCGGTAACGGAGGATTTAAATGATCATGAATTACGTTGATTCTGTTTTTCGCTTTAACAATATGCATCGCTAAGTCTGTATGTAAAGGCTGGTTGTTTAAATGACCTTCCATAATGTGAACTCTATTTCTTGCCCTTTCAATCCGTTCCACTATATTTAAACCTCGGATAGGTAGTGTCGTCTCCACTGGAATCCCAGTTACACAGCGATCCTCATTTTTGCCACAATCGACGTGTACAATCAGAAGCTAAAAATTTCATGAGAAAATCCTTAGTTATTCAGTTCCAAGTTTAGTCAACTCTTTAAAAGCGCGAATTTACCTCACAAAATGTGAATCCGATTAAAAATGACGCAAATAAATGTTGATTCATTTTAACGATCAAATTCTTGTCCTCTCAGAAATATAGTGAGTCTAAGGCTTGGACTTTAAGCTGACAGTCCAACCACTAAAAGCGTAACTAAAAAAAACAACTTAGAGAGAGAAAACTTATGCATATAGGTGTATATCAAAGAAAATTTATATTAATTTTTGTGGTATTTTGTTCTGACGTATTCACAGTTCGAAAAAATTTACAAAACAAACAATACTTCTTCAGGTACTTCCAGACAATATATTGAACTAACTGGTCAGTTGAGCTGACAGTCTGTTAGCCAGCTAAATGAACTAAAACAATAGAAGTTATTGTGATCAATGATCAGATGTGATCAATGATCATTAATTTGAAATTTTACGAAAATTTCATTATTTTGTCGCAAAGAAGCAAAGCTTCGTCGCAAATAAGTAAAAATTTGAATGCTATTTGGAACGATCTTCAAGTATTTGACAAAAACAATGATTTTGAGACTTTTTTCTCAACTCATCAACTTATTAACCGATATTCCATTAATTTGCAAAGCCAAGAAAAAATACTAAAAATGTACGTTTAAAATAAATTTTTCCAATTTATTGAAACCACACTCTAAACATAACAAAGAAAAATCTATGAGTGCTTTCAACTTCAAAAAAGAACTTGGTTCAAATTAACGTGTATGTGCTGTTTTTGGATGACCCTCAAGCTGTTTGATTCGTTGCTTTGCGATTTCGATACGCTTCAGTGTCGCCGGATCTGAAATATCCTGACGGTCCAAGGATTCTTTCAAAGTTTCAAATTTTTCTGGGAACGACGCTTCAGCTTTGTTTTCATTCTTAGATTTGCCACCTTCGTGTCCATTAACGTTGAAAATGACGAGCTACGTAGGAAGAAAATGATTATTAACTGAGTTGAAAATTTGACAAACATTCTAAAGACCTTACCCCAAATTCACACTTTTGAATCGAGTGGTTATTGATGAGTTCGGTGAATTCGTGTGAATAGAATGAAATGTGTCAAAGTAATAAAGTGAGGTTATGATAACCGCAATATTTTTTAATTTATTATTTTTTCAATATTTCCGATTGTTTTCGATAGAAAATCGCTCAAAATTGAAAATAAAATTAATTTTTATTAAAAAAATTTAAAAAACATTCGCAATTTTGTTCAGTGATGGTTTTTTCCTATCTGAATAGCGCTAGCTATTCGCAGCGC